ATCCGGCACGGGCGCACGGTGTACCTGCAGCTCTACGCCACGCTGCTGCTGCTCCTCATCCTCGCGGTGCTCGCCTGCAACTTCAGCGTCATGCTCAACCTCATCCGCATGCACCGCCGGGGCCGGAGAGGCCGCTGCGGACCCACCCTGGGCAGCGGCCGGGGCCCTGCCACCCGCAGGAGAGGGGAAAGGGTGTCCGTGGCGGAGGAGACGGACCATCTCATCCTCCTGGCGATTATGACCATCACCTTCGCCGTCTGCTCCTTGCCTTTCACGGTAAGTCACTCACTCCGTTTCCACAGCCCAGCTCTGCGCAGCCTTCTCAAGCTCTCCCCTCTCACTCCCACTTTTCCACCGCCACTGCACACTTTTGTAACACTGTAAAAATGTGCCCTAATTCGTAAAGGTCTGTAAACTTCCCCTGTCGCTTCTCACCTTTACCCCACTTCCACCCCTCCCTAATCCTGGTGCGAGGGCCTCCCTCCGCCAGGGTTTCTCAGATAGCAATACAGCCCCACTCACTAAACCTGCCACACTCCTCATCCTCGAATCAAAGGCCCCTCACAGTGTCCCTCTCCAGCCACTGCTAGCCTGGCTCGGCCCCTTCCACCTCTGAATGATTGGCAATTGCATCTGACCTCCCTGAGCGGCAGTGTGCCTCCTCGTGCCCCGATCTGCACACTGGTGCTAGTTCTCTATACTTTGCCTGCTGTTTCTCCCAGGGCAACAGTACCCAACCCATAGCATTCCAGCCGCCATGGAGAATGGTTCCGGGTGAGAAGGGTCCCTGTTGCAGAGCTCCAGAGCAGTCATTATTTGTTCCAAGAGTTTAACAACATCTCCTCCCCACCCCCAGTGTACAGGTTTCCCAATTTACATATCGGTAGCATAACTCTTTGTGGCCATGAACATTCACAATACGTCTGAAATGGTCTTAGAGGAAAAGCTGGTTGCTAAGGAGCCCCTTGCTAAGCGCTGGGATCCCTCCAGAGGGGGCATTTGCACTCTTACAGAACATCTTGACATCAGGCCCAGAAATACACACAGGTGCTCTTCAGGTTGTAATTGCGCATCGGGCACAGCGCCGCAGCAGAAATGGCTGGTCCATCTCAGGGATGGGAGAGGTAGGCACGTCCAGCACTTGCCATGACCCCGCGGGCCAGAGCCTGTCTGGAGAACTGAAAGAAAGGAGCCTAGGTACTGGGTGGGTGCTGTCCTGGTCTGGGCAACCTCAGCAGTGCGTTCCTTGATGCTGTGAGTTTGAGCCTCCAAGGCAGCGGTTCTCAACCTGTGGGTCACGACCCCTTTGGGGGTCAAACGACCCTTTCACAGGGGTCGCCTAAATAATGAAGTAGCAACGAAAATAATTTTATGGTTGGGGGTCACCACAACATGAGGAACTGTGTTAAAAGGTCGTGGCATTAAGAAAGTTGAGAACCACTGCTCCAAGGTATACAGAGCCTGGGATGTGTCTGAACGCAGGCTGGCCTCTTACACAGGAATGAAAACTGGAAGTTCAGGCAAGTCCACTTCCTAATCTTCAGAAGAACAAGACTGACCCTGCAGGGAGTACATAGTTGTCAGTGACTCCCACCTGCCACCATCTTGGAGGAAAAAAGGGACGTGCCGGGCTGGCCGTTAGCTGGTCTGAACTGTAGAAGCTGAAGAAGTAACTTTATCCTACTTCCCACCATCATCACTGTTTTTTATTATCTTCATACGCTCATCTTCAGGGGTGGGAAAGGACACAGGGTTCTAAAAGCCCGGATATGACCCTCCCCTGCCCCAAATTAACTCCCTGTCCTAGCTCTATTCTCTTCTCCCTGGTCCTCACCGTCCTCACTGCTACCCCATCCTCGGTCAGGGCAGAAGCTGGTCAGTAAGGTACACTTTGAAGGGAGTGAGGTGGAGTATGTGAAATGTACCCAGTTATCAAATGAAGCAGGACTGTGGGTGGCTGCAGTTCCCATCCCACCGACAGCAGGGAAGTCTGTGCCACAAAAATGCGATGATGTAGAAACCAACATGGCTTCTATGGTTTTGTTATGTTTTACTGATAAAACCTATAGATTATGTTAGGAACTAAATCAGCTTTTTAGGGGTTGGGAATAGGATGCAGAATAAGTACCGATGAAAGAAAGCATTTCAAGTTCCATCAAATAGCTTAGAATTCAACCTGGGAGACATAAGTCAGCTCTGAATTGGGGAATGCCTGTCTTGGATAGGTGGGCCTTAGGATATCCATTCTTGGAATTTTATTTATTATTTGTGAGTATGTATATAGAAATATTCCTGACCCTCAGCTACTTCAGTAGCCTGGGAATGGGCTCAGAGGGAATCAGAAATGTGTGAAAGGACGGTTCTTTCCTTTCCTAAACCTGGTAGAGGAAGAGAGCAGGCGGAAAGGGTCTCCTCTCTGAGCAGGACTGACCTACTGCATAAACTATTTTCAAAACAAAGGCAATGATTTTCAATAGTTCCCCTGTTTTTAAGTAAATTTGCCTTTTATCATGAGGACTCCATCATTGCCACATGTTTCTTTCCAAACATATGCAATTTTATATACTTGAATATATATGAATATATATATGTCTCCCCACCCCCTTCATTTAATATTAAGCCAGGGGCTCATCCAGAGTTGCTACATGGAAGGGGCTTGGCGCTAAAAGTCTGGTGAGAAGGAATGGGGAGTAGGAGTTGCTTTGCAGCTGTGTTTTTATGAGGATTGCCTGTTTATGGCTTGGGAGGAGCTAGATGAAGATGATTTTGTCAGTAGATTCTTGGTGCTTATTAGTTCCTTCATTTACACAGCACTTTAACCCTTGTAAAAATGTTACACTATCCCATTTATTTCTTGGAGGGGCTTATCTGATAATTCACAACTCATGGCTACAATTTGGTGCATACATTCTGTTGTTTCAAAATCCCCATCATGTGCCCCTCGGGACACTTTCCCCCCTTATCCTTTTAGTTTATTGGCCCACACTGAGACTATAGTCAGAAATGGCCTACCCCAGTCTCCCACCTGGGGCAGGAATTATTTCCACACATCCTACTTGGGGACATTGTTAGACAAGGCAAAGGCTTGTGGTTATCTCTGGACATTCTCATGTTCCTCTCCCAGAGCACATGCGCTCATGAGCCACAATGTGAGCCACATGTACAATTTAAAACTTTCTAGTAGCCACACAACAAAAAATAAAAAGAAACAGATATTCATTTTAATCAATATATTTTCTTTAACTCATTTTATTCCAAGGATTATCAATTTAAAATGTAATCAAGGTAAAATAATTATTAGTGAGCTATTCCCATTAATTTGCTTCCTTGCATCCCAGAAAATACTGGCAATGTACCCTCTCTTTGCCTGTTCCTACCAGAGCAGCTTTCTATGTCCCTTTTAAGTGGCCCCGGCAAGAAGAATTCACAGCTGTCTGCCCACTGGGACACCTGCTTATGTGAGCACTTTAGGAGTAGGGGAAGGAGGAGAGTGGGGATTTAGGAAACCTGTAACTACTGATGTCATGGTCCCAAGGTGTGGGCAGGTCAGAATTACTGCTTCCTCCAAGGCTCTCAGTCTAGGACTTCCAAAGTTTGAGAAGTACAACTATCAAAATGTAAAATACCCAGAGCCCCGTGATGAAGTCAAGCTCGACCTCAAAAATCATTATTATCATCAACAGCAAAATGGCTAACCTTTTTAAGCACTAATTTTTACATACACTAACCCATTATCTTCATAACAACCTGTAAATAGGTAGTATTATTCCCATTTCCCACCCACAGCTGGGGAGTGTTGGAGCCAGGATTCAAAGCCAGGCAGTTTAAGCAGAGAGTTTATGCTTTAACCACAATCCTATCAGCGAGAAATTGCTCGTTTCAGGGGTACCATATGAGAAAATTAATCCAAAATTTCAAAGAGAAATTGTGAAGATGTTATAAATATCACGACCACTTTGTCTCTTAATTCCAACTTACTAGCTTTAAAAGTGAAGTGGCAAAGACCTTTTTCTCCACGTCTGATGACAGGGCGTGAGCTGGACCAGGTGTGTGTGGTTCCTTTTTTCTTCTCCACAGACCTGAGATGTAAGGAGATTGGATAATGTAAATGCTGCTCTAAATAGGAAACATTCAGATTACCTCTCACGTAAAATCTTCCATTGGCACCATAAAACATTTCTTAACTGATTTTTTTTTTTTAAAAGGCACGTGTTGTTTAGGAAATGACATTATTTTGGTTGTTCAGTATGAAATCCTTAATGGGACCAACAACATATTCCAAAACCAAACTGTTTACGTACTAAAGGGATATTGTATAAATTAATAAATTCCTCCTTATGTTAATCAGCTGTTGTCATCATTTCAGAGACAAATAGAAACTGTCTTCATGAAATGGAACAGAATTCAGGAAATATATCAGACTCCATTCTTGCCTCACATACTGTTTGTGTCCTCATTCCCAACTACATCAAGCCACTCTCTCACTACTTTACTAATACCTGGCTTAGCTTCTGTCATTTTAAACTACCTCTGTCCTTTTCATGCCTCTACGTCCCTGCCTTCCACTACCAAAAAGTGAGTGGAAAATTTTTATTCAGTTCTAAAATTTCAAGAGTGAACCATCAACTCCATCTAAAAGTGTCTTCATCTTTAGAAATTCTTTAGGGCTACAATTTCCAGGTAATACTGATTTGTGGAAATCTGATCTTTGTGATATAGAACAAATTTCAAGTAAACAATACTGGAGTTTGGAGTTTCCTGTTCATTCCTGGTACTCTTTATGACATGAATGGGGTTATGAAACTGATCAGTTACATACATGGAAAGTATCACCATTCTAGGAGGAATGAAAGAGCAATCCAGAAATCTCTGTGCAACCCCAGTGAATTTTGCTTGGTGACATTTTAAGTTAATATCCATGTAACTTAATATCTGTGCATCATTAGTGATGTGTTTGGGGATTGTTGAAATAGTTTTAATACACATTACTTTCTGAGAGAAGAAAGTTTTCCTATATGAGTGTTTTCACTCAGTGTCTTTTCCTTTGCACGTTGATATTATGAAATGGTGGTTGTGAATAAAAGCACAATTACACTGAGTTTTTAAAATGCAGACAGCAAGAACCATAGTCCTTTTTCCAAAAGGGAAGCCGTGTGTTATGTCTCCGCCCTTGGTTGAGTTAATCATCACTGTTGCATATTATTAAGATCTCAACTGAAAGAAAAACAGCTTTTAGGGATGGTATATTTCTCTTTTTTTTTGACATTTCAAGAGCCCATCACAGTATTAAGCTAAAGGGGGGAGAAAAGAGTAGAAATGGTGCGTGATTGACCTATGGAGACACAGTGTTTCAGGAAGGCAATCAACGAGTCTCTTTCCACCTAAAGGCCCAGATAACTTGCAACCTGGTCTGCTTAGTTTCCCTGGCTTCTGTTTTGAAATTTCTAATCAACACTCCCCATCCTCATTTTGACTAAAGTTTTTAAGTGTCTCAAATTACATCAAGGTGTACCAGGACTCATTTTTCTCAAACTGTTCCGCTTCCTGAAATTGCACCCACTCTAACAGAAAACCAAACTTAAGACTTCTGCAGTTACCTATGTGTGACAGGCCGGGCCGAGGGAAAGTGCATTTGGGAAAGGCTGACACTTCCTGTACACCTGCACTCCATGGTCAGGGCACAGGTCACTTGGAAATCACTTGCAAAACCTTATGTTTATCTGAGTTCTGGGTGGATGGTTCATAGTGTCCAACATTCTTTTGCAGGGTTTAGAGTCACCACCCTGGAACACACAGGCCCAGGGCTCCCAACCTTAGCATTAACTCTCCTTTGTGTCTGGCGCTGGGATCACCTGGAGCACAAGGCAGGGGACACTGGAGCCACATCCATGCCCCTGTCTTTCCTTCTGAAGGGAAATGGGCTCCTGTTCCCTCTACCACAAAGCACCTATGATTTGGGGGAGGGGTTTCTTTAAAATATCAAATACCTGAAAAATAACCTCCCAGTGAATTTTTTTTTAAAGAATGAATTATGCAAAGCCTAAAGCCAGGACACTCGCTAATGTCTTCACACGGCAGATAAATATGTAACCATCTCTGCCTGCAATTTAGTTGTAGAAAGTGGGGGAAAGAAAAGAACCCAAAGAAAGCCATGTAGCTACATAGATACAACCATGGTTCTTAACAGTGACACCCGTACACCTCTGTACCACCTTTCAAAAAGAGGTGTCCGACAAACCCACAATTCAGTCAGTCCCTGGTAGATGTTATATGAGTCTCTACGTCACAGACTGTCAACAGAATAGTGGCTAAAAGAAAAATTGGGGGCCCACTGCTTGAACATGACTGCAGGGCTTTCCCACTTACCCGGAGTGTGATTCGGGACAAAGTAAGTAATCTTCTAAGCCTTGGTTTCCTCCTTACTAAAAAGGAGTAATAATGTTTTGCAGGTCCATGTAAGGACTAAATAGAATAAGGTTTAGCATCATGCCTGGCACAGATAGGTATTCAGTACATATTAACTGCTATATCCATAGGATTCCAAAGGAAAATTAGATTGCATGTTGAAGACCAGGAATTCAGGAAGCTTCAAGTCATTTGTTTGATTGGCCAGGCCAAGCGGGTCTTCTGTTTTTATTTCTGGTGTTAGGTAAGGTTCTAAAGCAGGGTTCTCAACCTTGGCTGCACATTAGAATCCTATGGGGGACAGGGGACTAACACCAGGATAGATACTCACATTACAGCCCAGATTTAATTGATCAGAGTCTCTGAAGGAGGGAGCAAGCCATCAGAATATTTTTAACACTTCTTGGGTAATTTCAGCCAGATAAAGTTCCCATTTACTCTAAAATTCTGAACCCACTATGTGGTTGTATTGATGGTAGGAAAGTAGCTCAAACAAACAGTATCCAGTCAGTGCCAAGATGAAGTTTTCCACAGGAGGATGCAAGGATACTATAAAAGATGAAACAAACAAACCAACAAAACCCACTTGTTTTCTCTGTGCAGCTTTGTAGGCATCATAGTCTTAATAAAGCCTAGTAGAGAGACCTATCCTAAGGAATTAAAATTCTCTTGACTCATTTCATTAGCACTTGGTATTTTTCTTATAGCAAATTTATTAGTAGTATGTGCAAAAATATGTATAAATTCTACCAGCCTCTGAAGCAAAATAGCACTGAAAGGTGATACTTACTTGACTTCTATGCAATGTGTCAGCCTTTAATTAAAACGTAGGATTGGCTGGAGGGGGAGGGGAATGGGGAATTATTGTTGAATGGGTAGTTTCAGTTTGGGAAGATGAAAAGAGTTCTAGAAATGGATGGTGGTGATGGTTGCTGTTCTGTTCTTTAATGTGATTGACAGTCAAGTGTGGCCACAAGAGAAGACAAGAGAACAAAGTTGATTGTACTCACAGGTCCTAGAAACAGGAAGGACTGAACAACACCAAGGATCACATGGGAAGGTATTAGTGCAAGTCAGGAGGCACGAGCAGGAGCTAGGGGAGCCTGGGCACGGCCTTCATTGGAGTTCCCGAGGGAAAGGCGAGGCAGGGCAGGTGGCCAGTGTAGGACTGGCTATTGGAATCATTTCAGCAGGCTCTGGGCTGCAGGACTGGCCCCTAGTTGCCTGGTACTGGGCCCTGGCAAGATTAAGACAGAGAAATATTGCCTCTTGAGATATAAGGCCAGACAGAGGGGCTCTAGATTGGTTAGTTGCCTATCGAAGGATTGCTCCCAGGTGAGCCCTTGGCTATCTCTAAGAATTGACCATCCCTGAAGGGGCAGTCTCTCCCCAGCCAGAAAGCTTTGTAGGATGTCAAAACATCATAATGTACAGAAAATGAAAAATATAATACAGTTGCACAACAATGTGAATACACTTAATGACACTGAATTGTACACTCGAAAATGGTGAAAATGGTAAATTTCGTTACATACATTTTATGATAATAATAATAAACCGGGATCCACAAGATCAAAAATGGTGAACTCTAGACAAAAGACAAGAACCAAATTTTTTAAAAATGCAGAGGTCGGAGAAGACATCTTACATCAAGAACTTTAAGGGCTGCTAAAGTACTAGTATATCTCTTTTCCAAGAGTAAAACAAGAAATTGTCTTCTGCAAAATATTGGCCAGCTCCTGAAAAGCGAATTTTAAGCATTTTTAACAATTTGCATAGTGGATGAAATCGAAACAAATAGTACAGAATTGCTTCATAGTGTAAAACCATTTCTCACTTCTCATTGCTCTGTCATACTCCAAGGAGACCAGGAACTGAAAACCTGACTCATCTTCATGCATGAAGCCATGACACTAGAATGCCAGGCCCTCCTCACACTGCCCATCTGCTAGCCAGTGCAGTGTTACCCAAGTCTTTGGCAACACCAGCTTATAAACTCAGACTACTGAGTGCTCGTGTGTGTAGGTATGGTGACTAATATCTCTTAATCTACCAGATTTACATACACTGTTATCCTGAATTTCTAAACTCCAAAATCACTCCTTAAAGACACCATATAAGTCATGTATATTTCTCATCCAAAATAATTCAGCTGCCAAGAAAATGATTGCCTCACTGCATATCCCCACCTAACTTTCTCTTCTCTCTATAATCAGGGAATCCACCATCAGTCTTTTTCCTTACTCATCTGTTAAGCCTTTTCTCCATTCCCAATGCCAAGATTCTCTGGCATAAACACCTGTGGCTGCCAAACCTTCCTGCTATTGTCCTAACATAAGCAACTCGAACAGGACCACTCTTCCCCCTCCCTGCAATTTGCTTTGTATATCCATTCGTCAGATGCCTACAGCGTAAGCAGGAGAGAAGGAGATAAAACATTCCTTCCTCTGGTGAAGGAGAGTGGAAGAAAGAAGGAATAGCTTTCTAACTCGTGGGCTTCCCTTAGCAAGAAAGTCACTGGAACATTTTAAAGTGGTTTTAAATGAGTGGGTGTGATTCACATCTGTTTTCCTCTTTTCTGTTCGCTGTGTGGGAGTGTTGGATCTTTATCGTGCACGTACAGTTCTGTTCCTTTTAATCTGACCAAAAAGTTGTGTTGCTCCCTAAACATCTAAGACATCCAACGAGAGCTGTGTCCCGGCATGAATACACTGGCCCACATGTGAAGATGGGTCAGCCTCTCAGTGTTTAAGATGTTGCTCTGAAGACCTTTGCTGTAACATCGGCGACCTGGATGGAGCACATGGTGAGCGAAGCACCGGTGCCAAGGGAGCTGGCACTTGTGTCTTGGCTCCACCACCAAACAGCCCTGGGTACTTGGGCGAGTCGCCGAACTTCTCTGCCCCTCGGGGTCCTCGTTGGTGAAATGGAGAGAATAACTAACACTGTGGGGCGCTTAGTAAGTGAGCACTGTTTTACACAGCTTATACATGTTACTTCCTATCCTCTTCCCAGCTAAGCAGTGGGTATTGTTGCTATTACCACCTATTCTATACAGATGTCACTGAGGCACAAAGAGGTTAGAATTTTACTTCTGGTCCCAAAGCTATATATGGAACCCGGGTTCAAACCAGGCAGCCCAGAGGCCAGAATCCATGCTCTGTTGTGTTTCCTCTCGCGCTGAATCGTGATCATCAAATCAGATTATCTGGAAGTGAATGTAACATGTTGATATTAACTTTCCTGAAGTTCACTTCCTCATCCGCCAAAAGGAGACAATACTTCTGGTTCAGGGTTTTTGAAAGGCATAAACCTACGGAAGAAGAGTGAGAATTTGCTATCCACCTTTCACCCCACCACCACCACACACACAACAGGTTTTGTTTTAAGTCTGAAGAAATTGCATATGGTCTAAGCCTGTCCACTGTGATCATGTAAAACTAACATCATTTTCCCCTTTTGCTTCTTACAGATTTTTGCATATATGAATGAAACCTCTTCCCGAAAAGAAAAGTGGGACCTCCAAGCACTTAGATTTTTATCAGCCAATCCGATCATCAACCCTTGGGTCTTTGCCATCCTGAGGCCCCCTGTTCTGAGACTAATGCGTTCGGTCCTCTGTTGTCGGGCTTCATTAAGAACACAAGATACAACAGAAACTTCCTGTTCTACACGGTCAACTGCCAGTAAACACACTGACCTTTGTGGACAATAGCTAAGAAGTGCTTCGTTAGCCAGCATCTGGAAGATCATTCTGAAATGGTTCCTTGGAGAAATGAGAAAAGTAGTTTGTAAACAAAATGAAGCTACCCTAATAAGACAGAGGAAATCAACATTTCAGCAGTGGTTTAGGCTGCAGAGGAGCTGACAAGCACTTCCTGGAAGGTGTCAGGAGGAGCTATGGAAATCCACCCTCCGTGAACATGTTAGTTACAATGGCCTTTAGAGGAACAACCAACTGCATTAAAGATCCGTTGCCTTTTGATTTAAGCTTTCCTGTTGAATGAGAAAGCATGTGGTTTGTAATCTGTTTAAAACCTGAGTTACTGTGTGTTTTCCATTTTACTCTTCTGTGTTACTACTGTTATAAACACACAGTGCACAGTCAGACCAGGTAAAACTTCATATGTGTTTTCTAGGAAGTGGATATGTGGGAGCAACCAAGCCTCATGTTCTGTGATTGCTTAACAAACCCTTTCTTTGGACAATGTGTTTGCGAATCATAGGCACTTTGTAGTATAATGTGTGTGTGTGTGTTGCGGGGGTGCGGGGGGAGCACTCTCTCCTCACTGCAGTATTACTAGTAGAAGAGTAGGCTCAGTTGGTTAATGTCGGTTTTTTCACTGGTCCTCCGGAAGCTGTGTGTCAAAGTATCAGATTATTTATTTTGTAATGTCTAATAGTAATTAAGGAAACGTTAGGAATTTTCCAAGAAATAATAGACTAGTAAGAGACTTGATTCTGATTAATACTCTTCATTCTATTTCCAGGGGAGAGTATATGTCGCTATGTCTGAAGGCACATATTTAGGGTTAAAAACTGAAAAATCTAGTCAATTCTTCAGATACACTGGAACCCTTTTAATGCTGGTGTTGAGGCCATGACTAACATCTACTTTATAAGATGATTGTGTTGTAGCAAAATTCATCTGCCCATATTTTTATCCAGGAAACATGGTTAACTAATACTACATAGGAAATCCTGTGTCAGTGAGTCATATCTTTATATATTTCTACATCTAAATGTTTGGCCTGGTGTAAACTCAGCATCAAACTATTTCAGTGAATTTGCACTGTTTAATCATATCTTAGTTACTGTGTAAACTCATCTGAAATGTTACAAAAATAAATGATAAAACAAAAATTTAAAAATGAAATAGTACTTGCTAAATCCTCCCAAATAACATTTAATAGCTAGAATAGATATAATATTTTTTCAATGAGATGAAAATAGAAAAAAATTTAACTTGGCAGGTTTTTAAAGTATGGTTGCATTGTAAATTAGAGTTTAAAATATTCAATATAGTACTTGCTACTAGAGGATTTTTTTTTCCTTCCACCATGATCTTCCAAGCACTAGAACCATATTTTTTTTTCTAGTGAGTGTTATTACAAGATAGCTGTTATAAAAAAGACAAAAAGGGATGTTAGTTTTTTCCAAAATCTCATTGAGTTACTTACGTAAAAACATTTCCTATAAGTAGTTATCAAACTAGATGATCACTTGGAGTTTTTTTCAAACCATTCAAGGCACCAGTGTATTTGACACAATGTATGTCAAATCAGCTCTCATTTTAAAAAGAATAAATAAATGATTTGCTTTTCTACTAATTTAAACAAACCAGGCAAAATTTAACTTAACTAAAATCTGCACATGTAAATAAATCTTCCCTGTCTACCAAGTAGAACTAATCAAGCTCCTGGGTAATTCCTAAACATAAAACTCTGAGGTTACTTTGAATCTGGAAGATTGAATTCTTTCATTAGATGGGCTTTTTTCCCTTCAAATGAAAATGTTAACTCCATTCCTTCGCCCCACCTCACCCGCCCCCCCAAAAATATCTGGAATAATGCCTGATAACTTTTTTTAAAAAGCAAACTTGGACATAATATCACTAGGGGTGATATTAATAATTAATAAAATAATTTACTCTGGCGGCCCAAAATGTAACAGTTTAAGCCATTTATTTAAGAACTGGTAGATCTCCAGAGCTTTATTTCCTAGTTTACTCCTGTTTCTTGCACTGTGTTAAATGACTATTTCATTTGCACTGATATATACATAGAAGGAATTGAAGATAAAAATCCTATGTAATAGTCATTCGCCTACTATGAATGGTAATTTAAAGGCAACAGAAAAATTTACTAGGATTAGATATATGTGGATATTTCTTTTTTTAAAATCCCACCTCATCAGATATACTTGTTTAGGTTTACTGAGTCATTTTCAAGTTAAATGAAAAACACTGAACTTAGCTTGGTATATTAAAGAACCTAGATTTTAGTCTTTGCCCTCAACAGGCAGTGGAATGAAAAGGGAGAAAGAAAGTATAGTGGATATTCACCTCAAAACGCCAGTCCCAACTTTAAGCATCCAGGAGTGGGCCAAAGCAGTCTGTTCTGAGCTGAATTATTGCTGGGCAGTCACTTTGCCCCCAGATCATCTTTCCCAGGAAAGAACTGGGAAATTCTCATCCTAGATTGTGGCCTCAAATCTCCAAAGATACTGTAGGGACTCGAGTTTGCTTAGAAGCTATAGAAAGCCTCTCCAGAAGACCTGAACCTCAGAGAGTTTGAACCCAGAATCAGACCTAGAACCAGACAAAAGCTCTAGAAACAGCACCCACCCCAAATCGCCATGCTGGCCGAGGCTGCAAGCCCTGAGCAGCAGGGAGGGCAAAGCCAAGCCACATCATTACATTCTCAGTGTAATTCAGTTAAACTGTTAGCGCCCCTGCCTGCTCCTGTCAATGCATAGTGAAAGAAAGATTGCCCTAACCGGTTTGGCTCAATGGATAGAGCGTCGGCCTGCAGACTGAAAGGTCCCAGGTTCGATTCTGGTCAAGGGCATGTACCTTGGTTGCGGGCACATGCCCAGTAGGAGGTGTGCAGGAGGCAGCTGATCGATGTTTCTCTCCCATCGATGTTTCTAACTCTCTATCCCTCTCCCTTCCTCTCTGAAAGAAAGAAAGAAAGAAAGAAAGAAAGAAAGAAAGATTGTCCTCATGTTAATGTAATGTCATTTCTGATTTGAACCAAGAAAAAAAACACTGTAGTCAGGTTTAGAATTTGATGACTTAGAAAGTCAGGCTAAGATAATTAGCTAGCACTTGAGCAGAGGTTTATTTATTTTACTTCTCCAAATGTAGTGGTGTAAGCCAATCAAATGGTTTTCTGAATCTGAGAAGAATCCCTAATTGAGCCGTTCACAGAGAGAGAAGCAGTCTTGTCTGCAAATGAGTGATTTCTATATATGGACTTACAAAGCCCTCTTATACAGGTGGTGTTGCAACTTGAATATTTGATGTCTATTTTCTGTCTTCATCAAACACAACTCCATTGGATTTCCTCTCCAAGGGCACATTTATAACATACCTCCAATCACTAACAGCATTATAATTGATTGCTCTTAAATTTACAAAGTATTTGATTGCCTGGGTGAAATACACTATGGAAGTAAACGTTGTTTTAGCAATTCCCCAAAGCTATAGTCTAACTTATACAGGGGGCCAAGGCCATGCATTGGGCATTAATTTTTTATTTCAGAAAGCTACTCGTTTTTGTTCTGGTAGATTATGTAATTTTTTTATTGTAAGTAAATTTCCTTGAATTATATATTTTTATTTACTGTACAATGTCTGTACTATTAAAGGTCCGTTTGAGTGGTTTAATTCTGTGATATTCGTGTTTCATTTGTGAAAATCTGCCAGAAGTCAAATACATCAGTGAGGATTCCAACAGACGGAGATGACACACTCAAAAGGGTGACTCAGGACTGTTGGATGAAAGGAATATTTACAGAGAAGGAGAGGGAAGGAAACCTTGCAGCTGTTACCACTCATAAGCCAGAGGCACAAGGGAGGAGCAGTTTCTGGAAACCAGTGAGAGCTGTAGGAGTTTCCACCCAGCGGGAGCTATGGCCTTCAGCTGGGAAGCACAGTTGCTGCCACCACAGGGCGGAAATGAAGGGACTACCTTCCTGGAGGATCTCTCCTCCTACTCTCTGTTAGTCTGTGTGTTCCTCCCATTGGCCAAACCCAACCTTAATCCAGACAGTACGAAAAACCTGGGTAATGAAGCCTGGAGTATGGCTGGAGAGTAGACTTAGAGGGACAAATGGAGAATATCCAGCATAAGTAGGTTAAAAATACATGGTTTGTTTTGTTTTTTGTTGTTTTGTTTTTTTAGTTATACCAACACAAAAAGTGAAACCACAAAGTGGGCAGCCTCTCTTCCTGACGTTTACTCCAAATAGATACCCACGCCTGGGGAACAGGAATCAGCCCCATCTGTATGGGAAGGAGTAAAATACTGTAGGTTTCTTTACCACAATATTGGTCATTGGCTAGGTGCTCTCTGAGGCTGAGCATGTATATCTCTCCTACTCTGGAGGCAGTTAATATGATCAGGGCAGAGAAAGGGGACCAGACCAAAGCATCTTTCAGTTTACCTTGCCCACAGCCCTATAGCTTATAGCTATTTCTAAGGAGAACAAAGGGAGACAGCCATGTATACTCATCTGGAAATGTACCACTGGAGTGAGAAAAATCGAGAAAAAGCTCACTACGATGCTGAGGGCATGCCATATCCCCAAGTTTTACATAAGCTGGGATAGGTCTAGACAGCTGTTATCAAGAAAAAGTATATGTAACAACTCAACAATTCTGCATAGTTTAAAATGCTGATAAAAATATCATGAAAAAGCAAATTTTAACTAACTGGGAAGAGATTGGACAAAGTATGATGCCTTAGGCCATCTGTTCATGTTGTCTTTTCTGTACCACAGAATCTGTCTTTACTCTCTCCCTCAGCTCCTAGAAAAGTACTTTTCCTAGCACACACTGTTTCCGGTCCCCTCCATCATTAGATCCTGTCCTCTGCATACACATACTCAACCTTTCCCCTTTTGGAAAATTCTAGACTTACCAGGAGATATTAAAGATTTGTCAGACTGCTGGGCATTTCTCAGAGAAGTTATTTAACCTCTCTCTCTCTATAAAATAATAATAATGAAATTATCTATCTCCTCAATTATTTTGAAGATTAAACAAGTAACTGCATGTAGGACATTCAGCATAGTGCCTGGGTGTGGTAATGAAATTAGGAATTACTATTATCTTAGATGCCCAGTTCAGTGGCCCTTCTGATTTCCTCACACACATCTGACTCAAATTGTTCCCTGTTGGTGGGGGTTGAGGTGCTAGGGGATCTATTTGTTAATTCTGGGTAACTGTCAAGAATGATCATGATAATAAGCACACAGGACAAGTTTGTGTTTCTGAAAATGTAGTGGAGACTGGCACACATGGGACAATCTGTAGAGGAGGTGTAAGCATGAAAGAGGAGACCAGGAGAGACAGAAGGACAACAGGACACAGAACGCGGTTCATGTCCCCTCAATGGAGGTATGGAAGAGAACAGAATGTGTTTCAGACAGGATATGTCTGTGTCAGGAAACACAACTCTATCACAAAGCTAAAAATCTTCTGAAGATCCCCAGAGTAAGTCCAAGCCATGTGCCACAGGTGGCCTTTCATGTTCCTGAAACCAGCATCCAAGACTTCCTTCCCTTCTCCAGGCAAAACATTCCTCATTTCCTCAACTGCCCCTTACGTGATACCTCACCACTTGGGTCCCTTCCTTCAGATCCTATCCAAGCTATAAGTGCCCACCTTAAGCTGCTGGGCCAGAACCAAACATCAATAAATAATTCTAGACCAGTCTTGTCAGTACTGAATGCTGCTCTGTCAGTTGCTGGCTTGATCTGTACCTTGTCCTTCCATTTATGCAACCTGAGATTACAAAGCTTCATTAGCAACTAGGTTGTGCTTTATAGTCTTCAACAAATGAAAGAAGCAACAATATACATTGCATGCTACTAGAGGTAAGCTGGGTGTGCAGCGGTGAGGGAGTTGCTCACTAAGGGCATCCTCATAAGATATGCTTATGATTATGGCACTGATCTTGCCTCCTGAGACCACAGAGCTTCTTGGTTCTCATTAGTCATTTGCCTATAACTTTTCGGATTGGCCTCCGTAGACTAGGGATGGGGAGCTTTGAGTTTATCCACTGAACCTGGTCTTTTGTGTTAATAACTGGCCCCTGAAATGACGTGGAACTGGATCAGTGCCAGAGTCCAAAGAACAATGTTTCCCTTGAAAATGGAACTCACTACTTTAAGTTATCCAATGAGATTTTTGCTAGAATTAACTGGCCAATACTCATCTCACCCCTAAGAGTGTGTCTGATATATCCAGATAAATATTTGAAAATTGCTGCACAATTCAACCATTGAGGAGAGTTGAGACTATCTTTCAGCTCTTAGAGACCTTCTCAACATGCCCACGCTGGGAATAGCTC